GTACTTCCATTCCTCTTGCAGTACATTTCAACGTTCCGGCGAAGGCATGTTCTCTCAATATACCAATACGGATGGAATTGTCTTGGTGTGAAGATAATGTGCATTAGCACAGATGTACATACCCTATTACTGAGCAAATATCTTGATCATGCTAAGAGAAAATGCCGGCCTTCTTTATTATCCTGGTCGTGACAGTTTTTCCTTTTAACATGCACCTATAGTATTTTGTGGACTTATATCTGGCAAATGCAGATGACACCATGATGTGAAGAACATATGCGGTTAGGTAATGTTCCAACGTTTATGAATTTACGCATACACATTAGTCTTTATATCCTATAAGGAATCTGCGTATATATTCTGGGAGGGGCCTGTGTCCCCTAACATAACGAATTAGTTGCGATATGGATATTTTTCATTCCAGATCTATGGTTGCCAGTATGTGCAGCTTCTAGCATCATAGCAGTCTTCTTGTCATTTGTTCTTGTCATTGTCATTTTTAGTAGTAGCTTTAAGTAGAAATGGGGCCGTAGAATTCTCTGTGGAGTCGCTTCTATGCTGCAGGCCTTATCTTTTCTTTGCCTTATCTTATTCTTTATCACAGTGTCAGCTTTATCTTTCCCAGTTTTTACAGTGTGAACTTTGACCCAGTACAACTTGATGTTTAGGTGACTATATCTTAGGAAATTTACGTTGTATGCTATTCATGATCTATCTGTCTATGTTTTTGACCTCCCGCCCCGTTCATTGAAGAACACTACTAGGATATACACTGGTGTGCAAAAATTAAGGACGAAGTCGAAAAATTAGCATATCAGCTGAACGAAGAGGCAGAGCGGACAGAAAGACAAATCAGGAGATTAAGTAAGATGATGTACGGTAGCACATGCGCAGATATGCAGGTAGACGTAATGGGGGGAGTGTCTGAGTAGTATAAAGCATGTTGTCGGTGTAAGATCAGTATTTCTGGCAAAGAGATTGCACGCCGCATAGCAGTTAAAATCACACCGAGTTGCTGCCTCAGCGAGAAAGGGCGAATAATCAATCTGTTAGACGACATGTGGATGCTTTTACCCGAGGTCGAATCATTGAGAAGTTGGAGGAAGGCCGCAGTGTGACAAGTGTGGCTGCAGAGTTCGGAATTGCTCACAGCATCGTTTCACGACTTTGGAGACAATTTCAAACTACAGGAACAGTTATCCGGGGGTTTAGTAGTGGTCGTCCACGAGGAACCACACCCTCAGATGACCGGTTATTGCCTTACAGGCCAGAAGAAACAGGCGGCAGACAGCGGGAGAAATCGCTAGACACACGACACAGGTGACTGGACGACCGATATTGCGTTTTACCGTGGCCAGAAGACTGCACGGTGGTGGTCTGTTTGCACGACGCCCTGTACGGTGTGTACCTCTAACGCCTGCCCATCGGAGAAGGCGTTCTCTGTGGTGCCGGGAACACCGGAATTGGAGAGACAATGAATGGGGATGAGTACTCTTTACAGATGAGAGCAGATTCAGTCTGAGTAGCGATTCTCATCGCATACTCATCTGGAGAGAGCGGGGGAAGCCGCAATCATCCCTCGAAACATCATTGAAAGGGACAGGTATGGAGGTGACGGAGTTCTCGTTTGGGGAGGCATCATGCTTGGTAGTCGTACAGACCTTCACATCTTCGACGCAGGTTCAGTCAACGGGACCCGTTATTGTAACGAGATTCTTCTTCCATATGTGCGTCTTTTTAGAGGCGCTATGGGACCGCAGTTCCTTTTCATGGACGACAATGCACCATGTCATCGCACAGTAGCTGCCGAACAGCTCTTAGAGAGTGAGGATATTGAATGTATGGATTGGCCGGCACGATCTCCGGATCTCACTCCCATCGAGCATGTATGGGATTTTCTAGGCAGACGCTTGGAAGCTCGTACCTTACCACCAGTAACGATTCCGGAGCTTCGATTGGCGCTGCAAGACGAATGGGCAGCAATGCCTCAACAACTCATTGACACCCTCATTCTCAGCATGGGCAGACGCTGTGAAACCTGCCTAGCAGTCCAGGGGAGATCATATCCCCTATTAAAGACCGGATGTTTCTTGCTGGACACCCATCACAGGGATGTTTCGGCTTCAGTCGCATTGCGCACCATGCTACTTTTTCAATAAAGCTTCTTTTTATCCCTCTGATTTCTCTTTTAGTAAGTGTTGCTTACATTACTCATGTCCTTACGTATTGGGGATCTTACGGTATTAAATGTGTTGATTTGGAAAGCTTTTGCACAAAGTTATATTGAAAAAACCGTCTCGTCCTTAATTTTTGCACACCAGTGTACTTTATACGATGGAAAACCTGCGGGCCTGATTTTGAATGGAGTGCAGTATTGATAAATGCCACAAGAGATGTTGATATTGCATATATTTGAGTCAGCACTGCACTTGTTATTGCTATACTACGCATTGTAATATATGAAACATAAATTTACTTTTCCATAATTTTACTTGAAACATTTACATGAAAGGAATTAAGTACCGATTTCAGGCTGCAATTAATTTTCATTTTGCTGTTACAAAATATCGCTTATTCAAGTTCCTTATTTTAATGAACATGTAGAATCATTATGTTTCAATGAGCCAGAAACTTGAAAAATCAACCCTGTACTCACATGTTTTCAGCTATCTTCCAATTGCTTGTTGTGCTTTCTACTAATACAATACTAGCGCACACAGCGACTATATTCGGGTACAGTTTCCAGTTCCGGAGAAAAGGATTTCAATTACTTATATTCCTTTCCCACTTAAAGAGCAAATAGTGGAAAGAGGCGGCGAGATTCAATCAAGATATTTACTGCCCACTAATCACCATATCTGGGCAACGCTGAAAAACGATATATATATATATATATATTAATTTAGTCTTGAAGAATAAACACTGCCTTTCCTCCGAGGTCTTTCCCTTTTGCTAGCTGGATGTGTTGAGCATTACACCACAACATCACACGGAAAATGACTTTTAATTCCTTGCAACAAGTCTTTGGTAGTTCCATAATAATCCCTTTCACTCACCATGTTGTTGCTGTTGTTTGAAATGGCCGGGCACATGTAACTTAATACAATCGTCAGTTTCAAGTGCAGAGAGCATAAAGATTATTGTAACTTAATGCAGTTCCAAAACTCTTGGTTATTTACTCACCTCTGGATCAGTCGTCTTATCATCAAGTACGTGGTTTAGGGTACACCACAGGGAGTGACCAAATTACATCTTCGAAAAAGAAAGTTCCGTGCCAGTTTTTATAGAAAACATCCCGAAGAAATGGATCTCCCTCTACAAGGTGTATTCTCCCTCTTTTCTGCATGCCTTCCTAGTGTAACGGTAGCACACTCGGAACGTATTCGGGAGGTCCAGGTTCCAGTTCCGGCGAGGGCACTGCTAATTTTTCACATTCCCTGTTTTCAAAGTAACCTAATGACTCGACAATGGCGACCGAACTAAAAGGTGATGGATGATGGATAATTCTTCACCGGCAAGATTTGGCGATTGGGTTCCCTAATCACCAGTCGCCCTTTAAAAGGGGAAGCATGTAAGGTATTTTCTCCTTCCTTTCTGCATGTCTTCGTGGTGTAATGGTAGCACAATCAGCGCGTATTCGAGAGGTTCAGGTTCGAGTCTGGTGAAGGCAATGCTCATTTTTCACAACTGCTCCTTCAGAATAACCTAATAACTCTACATCTTTTCCACTATCATCTGCATTTCGAGATGGCTTTTGGGTTAATAATATTTTAAGTGTCCTTGTGCAGTAAACACACTTACCAAAATGTATGACTTCTTTGGGATTCGAACCCGGGTCCAATGATGTGGCAAACGGCTTTCCTACTACTAAGCTAGTAGGGTGCAGGGTAGAAAAGTAGTCTATGGTGAATAGAATCCAACGAGAAAAAAATAATAATTTGTTAAATAATTCAATCCCGTTTGTGTCGAATAGTTTGGACTCTGTTGTATGTGTTGTGCATTCTAATAGTCAGTGTCACTCTTCATTTATCAGATGGCATTTCAACATCAGACAGGTAAGTGATAAAAATAACTTTAATAAGCTTAAATTAATGAGATAAAAGTTTAACTTGTTTCTACAAAAACGTCTAGTCAGTGTTACAGTTCTGTAAACATGTAATGATAAAAGTTATTCGTTTAAACTGGCTGTTAGATGAACAGAATACACTATTCTGCGTTCTTTTTTAATTCATGTGAATCGTTAAAAAAAAGTTTAGTTTTCAGCAAGAAACTGCCGTGACTGTTTAATTCGAACTGCATTTTTAATGTTGTTTTTCCAAGGAACGTGCTCTTAGGCTAAAGAATATAAAAAGCGGATCAGAAAACCATTGAAAAGGGATTACCAGCGGATTCAAGTTCAATAGTAAACGACTTAAGTGTAGTTTCAATTCCGGTTCGCTAAAATATTTATAGAAGTTTTGTTTGCTTTGGAACTTCTTTCCTCCGAAAAAAAAAAATTGGCTTAGTGTATTGAAAATAAAGAAATTGTGCTTTCTTTTTATTTAGCATAGGTGTTTTTATGCACATGCATTAAAGCAATTTTGTTTCAAAAACGGCAAATAGGTATAATTTCCAAGTATCTTTCCTTCCCACACTTTAATGTGTCTAAAAATGCTTGTTGTATTTGGTCAGATTTTGTATATCTTCATGCTTTCACCTCCGTAGGAAAATTTCGAGACAAGCAGTTAAATTTTTTTTTTTCGTAAGATTTTTAAAAGAATTCCAGCACGCTTGTATAAAATATTTTTATAGAATTCTAGTGTGCCTATATATATTAAAAAATATAAATAAAAAAACTCATTTTCGGCGATTTTAATTGAAAGAGAGTACATTTTTAGAAACTGAGCGCAGTGTCCAAGACAGAATTTTAATAAGCGCACATTTTTTGTACATTAATCTTAATATCACTGCTTCTTGTAATTGTCATTTCTTAAGCCTTTCTTTCTTTGTATTTCTTGCAGGGCATCCTATGTCTGATGGAAGCTCTTCAAACAGCTATGCGTGAGGAGCAGCTTCATTTTGAGCAGTTGACAATACAGCTGCAGAAGTATCCTGATCGTAACTCTTGTCAACACAGGAAGATATCAGCAGCACTTTGCACCGCTCAAAGGCTGTTGACGAACCTGTGCACCAAGCATATGATGTGCTCCGGACAGGTGAGTCTCAATTTAAAGTTTATTTGCTTCGTTTCATTTATGTTTCCACTTCATTCAACAAATGTCATAAAAACCTGCTTTACAGATTTCAGAAAATCAGCAGAATTTTACCTTTTTAGGTGTTTCCGCTTAAAGCAACTTTGTCTATGTTCGTTGCATACGAAATTTCCATTTTTACCATATTACACGCATCTAAACTGCTGTCTTTCATGTACAACACTAACATTATTGCTATCATTTTCACTCGTATTACTAGTACATTGTTCCTCATTTCCCCCCCCCCCCATCAAGCTTCGTAGTATTTTCTAAATTCTCTACTTCATCATCAGAGTCTTTAAATTCACTATCATAATCAAAATTATTATCTGATTTGTTCAGAAGGTCTAAATTATTTTTTAGTGGGAGGCTTAGACATCTTAATATTCTAACAGTTATATTCAGTAAATAAATTTTGAATCCGTATGGGGAAATTAAATAAAAAAAATATTAGTTATACCTTAATGCTACTTTGAGTGAATAGATAGAAATCCTCTAGAACAGCGGTTCTCAACCTTTTGACTAACGCGTACCATCTAAACAAAAACTGAAATCCTTTAGTACCACCACCACCATTCTTGAACAAAAGCTCAGATCGCATAAATTTACGAGTGGTAGAGGAAAAAACTCAATCAGGATGTTGGAGTTTTAATTTTCAGATTCAATAGTTAAAAATACTTTGCTTCTTTTTGCGTACCACCTATTTTTGTCTTGTGTTCCACCAGTGGTACGCGTACCAGCGGTTGAGAACCCCTGCTCTAGAACGTAATTAACAAAGAATAAATAATAACTTACGGTATTAGTAGAAAGTGATTCTCCTCTTCGATAATATAACTATTTTTAAGAATTTATTTTAATATATAATAGAAACAGCTAATGAATATAACTGAAGCACGCATGAAAACACATGTAGAATAGCGAATTAAGGTTAAAATACAACGAAAGTATCCGGAAGAAGGGAATTACTAGCTACATTACATGTGCCAAAGGCTTCATTAATGTGCGGAATACGTTTGATAAGTGAAATCTACGTAATATTTAATTTACAGAAGATTCAAAGAAAAATGAATTTAAAATAAATTTAAGAGATAATATTTTGTAATAATGTATTTCCCAATTTTCTGAATATTTCAATAATGTTCTCTTGCTACAAGTTTTTGATTTATTATTAGTATATCATGCTTAGATATACTTGCAATAACGCATAGAATAATTCGGTGTGTGGATCTGGAATTTGAATTTAGTTTAATCCTCTGATCTACAAAAGAGACTCTTTTACTCTTAAGCTGTCTGGAGATAGCAACTCGTCTCGGATATTTGCTGCTTAAAAGCGGAACTGGAAACAGCAATCTTCATAATATGGCCTGTTGTCTTAAGAGGTTTAACTTCGCAGTTCGTTTAAACAAAAATAAAATATTAAGCCTTTTAATTACATACCGTACAACTCCTCTTTATTTTGGAGATACTCCATGGAATTGATACCAGGTGAACTAAAAGATTGGAAACAGGCTAGCTCTAGTATATTCAGTTGGGTATGGATTAAATGTTCGTACCAAAAAAAAAAAAAAAAAAAATACTAATATTCAGCGAGAATAGATTTGTAATTTGTATCTGTCGGTTAAAACTGTTTCATGCTTATTAATGGTCTAAACTATTTTCTTGAATCTTAAGTGATCCTTTAATTATTACTATTTTAAATATATTTAGTTAGAAATTGCTAAGAAAAGTTGACGTTTTTGTAAACAAATATCGGAATTTAAAAAAAAAAAAAAAAAAAAAAAAAAAAAAAAAAAAACCTTTCGCATATATATTGCGCTTCAAATGTTAAAGAACAAACGTTTTCTCCACAATGGTACAGCAAAATTCAATGATAAGGACGTCAAATAAAGTTAACGTAAATAATAAACGATAAAAACTTATTGGAAAAAAATAATAAAAAATATACGAAACAGCTTTGTTTGTTAAGGGAACGTTTATACTTAAATATAAATACAAGAACGTGTGTCGAAGTTTCATGCATGCACACGGGTAGATTTTTCAAAAGCATTTGTGCTTGTTAAATATTTCTCAATGAATTAGTATAAATGATGTCCCAGATAAATCTGTCGCCATATTCTGTAAGATGGCGAGCAAGTGTTTGGATGAGAATACGCTTTTTTCAGGTTAATGCCGCAAGACGGCTAAATATTAGTTGCTGTGTTATCTACAGAGTAAGGAATATGTATGTACACCGCGAAAAAAAAAAGGACAGTTCTATATCTCCCGTTCTACTGGGCTGATTGACAAAATTTAAATTGCGTTTTTCATGTCTCGAAAGCACGACTTAGGATATAAATTAGATTTATATATAGCATTGTTCTAACCTAAGTATTTTGACACCAAATCGGATTTTTTCTGATATAACATACCAATTTTTTTCCATACTTCAATTCTAAGACTCAAATTATGCCTAAATATTAAATTTTGTAAAATTTATTGCAAACTTTACGAAAAAATTCAAAAATTTATCTTGGCGCAATTTTTTTTTCAGTTTGCGCCAAGAATAATTCACTTGGCGAACTTCTTAATGTATGCCAACGTATTTTCCTTACCCTTCCATTATGAAGGAGCGAGAAAAAAGGCACCTCGTTCCTACCTTTTTATATTGCGCATGAGCGGGAAAAAAGTTTCATTGTTCTTACTTTCAAATAATTTTAATACAGTGTCTAAATCACATTTGATGTTTTATCGCTTACAATAAATATGCCAAATATATAAATTCACGTATATCTTCGGAAATCTTGAATAAAAAACTATAATTTTTTGCAGGTATGATTAGAAATACGTCTACTTTAAGATGATGGTAAAAATTTTATAGATTATAATTCAAATTTATTTTGAAAAATTTATAAAAATTATTTTAAAATACAAATTTTAGAAATGAATCATAAAAAAGTTGAATTTTATTTGAAATGAACCTGAATTTCGAAACGTGAAAGAAAGAATCAAATAAGTTTAATAAAAAAAGAGAGATTAATAAATATACACCAAACTCAATTAACATTGAGGAGCTAAAGTTTTGAGAGCTAATTTTTTAAAAGCTACTCGTGCGATTTTTACAAAACTTGGTAGTTTGGCTTAATTTGAGTCGTAGAATTGAAATATGGAGAAAAATTGGCTTGTCATTTCAGAAAAAGTTCGATTTGGGTCAAAATACCTATATTAGAACAATTCTATACATAAATCTAATACATATCCTAAGTCGCGCTTTCGAGACATGAAAAACGCAAGATGAATTTCGTCAATCGGCCCAGGAGAGCAGGATATATACCCAACTGTCCCAGTTTTTTTTTTTCCCTTTTGCGCAGTGTGCAGTGGCAAACTGTCCACCGGGCAACGACTCCATCTGAGGCCCACTTTCTAGTTCTTTCGACTACAGGGCCACGATGCACGACTATGCTTCAATTTTTTGCCTATCATTATTGGAGCCATAAGAAGAATAACTGTTTCGATGTCTTCTTGTAACTACAAAAAAATTATATTCTTGTAGTCAGGAGATGAAAAATGCGCCGCTTTATCCACAAATTTCTTCACACAACGATTGAAATGGGTAATACAACACCCATGTGGGGCACAAAGCAACGGCTGCCAGCACTCTTTATAGATGATTCCGAATAGTCGCTACAGTATGACAGGAACAGGATACAGCACGTAGAACAATGCTAAACTTGGGCAGTAATCACTTTAAGCAGTCAGTCTGGCCTTCATGTTTTTCTTATGGGATCTTTCAGAGCTCAGACGTACAGGGACGATATTCAAAATCTTACGTAAGGCCTAATTCTTTTGTTTTAACGGATGACAATGCCTGCTGTCACAGAGCACATGACTAGTGGCTTTGACACATGACTAGTGGCACATGACGAATGGATTGATCATTTCGATCACCAGATCTGAACCCCAGAAAGCCCTTGTGAACCATATATAGGAAAAGAGGAACTGCTTTTTATCACCCTCCCAAATCTTTAAATGAGTTGTAACAGGCGTTACAACTTTTGTAGTCTTTGTTTTCACGAGAACTACCCGATAATTTAATCTACAGTAGGAAAAGGAGGTGCCAAACCTCCATTCACGCCAAAAGAAATCATAATTTGTATTAAAATTTTCTTCTAATTTATTTCAGCCCAAAAGGATTTGTTCTGTATCATTAATCACATGCGTTTTACATTTACTTATTCATATTTTTCCAAGGCGAAACATTCGTAACATGGCCGCCCAGACGGTATAGTGGTTAGGAAAGCCTGACTGCGATACCGAAGGGCCTGGGTTCGAATCCCGGAGAAGGCAAAGTTGTAACTGTTTGTCCCTTCATAGGAGGCGATGATGGCCCACCTATTGGGTGCCTGCCAATGCTAATGATTTGCAAATTTCGGAGTGCCTATGGTTCAAAACCATTTACCTCCACATCAGAATTACTAAAAGTGAGCAGAAATTGGAAAAATTTGGCATAAGTGATTTACTTGATGCTCAATAGAGGGAGCCACAGGCTCGAGAAAGTTTAGGGATAGAGATGAGAATATTAAAAACTTAAGTATCATAATTTTTTATAAGTTTTTAGGTTTTTATAATTTTTTTGTATTTTATATTTTATACTTTTTTTGGTTTTTTATAATTTTTTATACACAATACAAACACTAAAGCAAAAAGCGGATAGGAAAGAGTTTACGATTAATAGGCTCATTGGCATGTGGCTTTTGTTGGAGAGTGCAAATAATTAATGGGATCGCGATGAAAATATTCTAAGGCAGATTTAAAATCTGCGGGAGATGTGATTCTTAAGTAAACAGATTGATAACTTTGCTTGAAGATCTTGATTGCAGTTGAGAAGATGAAATAAGCAATTATATGGCAGCTCGCTGAAAAGACGTCCTTCCTTCATGGCGCGGGGGCTGGAACTGAGGTAGAGAGGGCGTGTCTTGCCCTTTTAG